TAATAGTCAACTGGCCATTCATTGTGTATTTCTTTAGCAACCAACAAAAATCAATGAAAACCAAAAGATGATGATCTCGCAATTTCACAAAATGTTGAAGAAAAGTAAGGTAAAGGTAAAAGGTAACGGATACCAAGAGGACATGCAAGAAGAAAGACACTGGAGCGATAAGTATTTATATTTGAAATTACACGACGCGGTACGGAAAATTTTGTCCCAGCTTGCAAATTAGAAAAAAATTTGAGGAATTACACCTTGCTAGACTAAATCGCAACCAACAAAACCCCTAGAATCTCCATAAGAGTGAAATTACATTTCAAAGCTAACCTAAAAGCATACGGAAAATGGATGGCATTAAAACTAAAAAAAACATTGGAAAAAATCTCCAAAAAGTATGCTTTAGTCAACCAATACGGGAAGGCTATTCAACGGATTGTCTATTCAAACGTGTCCAGCTCTCCGTTCTTCAAACTACTTTTTGCTGCAGAACGCCATTAATATGAAATATTAGCAAAAGTTACAATACAAGAATGGCACTTTTGCGACAGAATATCCTCATCAACCCGTCCCTCCGCCTGCCGGTGTTTTGGATGAAAGTTGAATAGTTGGTAGTAGATTCACAATATATTGCAATAACAGGAACAAGAAAATTATGCTTTTAAGATTACCTACCAATGGTAGGTACACTTTGGGATTCTTGTGCGTTTAATCTTCTTATGACAAGAACTATTTTGAGACAGAAGTTCACCCCACTTGGCAGAGTGAGAGATTGGTTGAGAACAGGAGGTGAGGATAAGATTAATTAAGGGCAACTTTAACTGTTATGAAAGTATGGTATTGTACAACGTAGTTCTTTGGATGCTTTGACTATTCCGGTGAGCAATGAATTTTTCTGTGGAACAAGCACTACATACGGTACGGAAAATTGCATTTCAAGTTAAAATGACTCATACACGTACGTGTACTCTAGCATACAAATAAAACGTATAAAATACCACCACACGTGAGGGGTGGGTCCATAAAGTCACATGTAGTAAATTTTCCCCTCTAGAAAAACTAGTTTTAACTGAGGAAGGAAGCGGGCAGCAGTTTTAAATGTACAGTTAACGTGCTTGATGCCTAATAGGACTATCAATATTACTTTTTCAGTGCATTTAGCTGTGACTTTAAAGTTCCTAATGCATTTTTTTACTAGTTTGACAAAATAAACATGTATGAATAAAAGATCCGTTTCATAACCAGCCGGTTTCATAGCTAGTGTAAAATGTACATTAAGTAAATAATGAATTCACACATTTCAAATGCTTTATTTATGCTATAATACAATTTTTCTACAAAATTATTGAAGCGTATAAAAATAGCGAAGTATCTACCTAGATATAAGTCGACAGTTAGAGATAGCACAAACACAATCAGTCAATTGTCAATATACACCCTCAACAACATTTATTTATGTGTACTAATGCACTCAAAATCATGAAATATTCAAAATTCGTTATGGTAACATATATTTTACAATTTGATGGATGTACGCGTAGATCGGGGCCATGTAAGAAGGAGAAATGTTGACGCTACGAGCAGCTGGTTTACGTAGTCGCACTCCGCAGAGTTGTAATATCCATCCCCAAGGAATAGCGAGTCTAGGAGATTGTAAATCATGCAAGTGATATTGAATATTAAACGACCATAAACAGCTTGTTTTACAAAACTTACCTTTGTGGGAGAGGTCCGCGTGGTATATACCTTTAAACATACAAATTAGCTTTTTCATATGTGAATTAAATTAAAATTCATTGACGAAATAAAGCCTTAACGCATGCAAAACCTGTAAATGAATTTTCAACTAATGTGTACCATGCATGTTGAAGCGTGTTCATTTCAATGACGTATTTGAATATTTAAAGCCTTTTTGAATGACCGCCGACGTATTGTATAATTTTCAGTTTTAACCATTGTGGCCACAGTTATTAATACGGCATTAATTAGTGTTAGTCCAGGGTCGAGTTTCTGAGATATTACAATTGAAGCCATTTGATTAATTAATATTACCATGAAAGTACTTCTCGTTGCGTAAATATGCTCCAACTCTCTTTCTGCTATGTAAATGCAAACCAAACAATAAAAAAAACAATCTAACGGTATCGAATTCGCAACCAATATCTCGGTGAAGGTTATCCTAATTTTGGAGTTACTACATGTATCGATCAGTGAATTTGTAGTAACTTTTTGACGTCAGTCTCAGTATGTGCAAACAATTCAAAAGCACAACATCATGAGGGTGGCGTAATTTAATTGTGGTTGAAATAATCAACTAAGAGCAATATACAGATACAGGTTTAATCAAATTCGAGAGCCACTATAGGGATCTCGGAAACTGTAAGAGATAGGTAGGTAATTTAAATTTGGCAAAGTTGCATATTTTGATGTTCAACAAAATGCCGTTTTGAAACTGAAAAAGTTCCGACTATTTTCGGAGATATCCTGAAAAAAACGAAATTTTGCAAAATCGGTTTATTTTTTACCGAAGTTATTTAAAAAGATATTTTAAAATAAATGACACATTATTATGGCCACTTTTTTCCCTCTACAAGATGCTAGTTTAAAATTTTAACACTGACGTTTCGTCTCCGGTTTTGTTTTGTTTTTTCTTATGGAAGTCATTTTTACTTTTTGTGTCATTTGATAGAGCATTTTGTTCTGATTTCAAAAATGTAAACATCACTATTTTTTAAATATTGTTCTTTTCTTTTTTGCCTGGCAAACTTTGTCTTGGACGAAACGTCAGAGTTAAAATTTTAAACTAGCATCTTGAAAAGGGAAAAAATTGACCATAATAAGGTGTCATTTATTTCTTTTTAACTTGGGTAAAACATAAAAATGATTTTGCAAAATTTCGTTTTTTCAAGATATCTCCTTAAGTAGTCGGAATGTTTTTTTTTTATTATTTATTTAAACCTGCATCCACCTTTCAGTTATTAGCAGCGGAAATTTAGGCACATCTTGGTACATGTAGGTATCCTTAGATCTGTGAGGTAACCTTAATGTGTTTTAAGTAGTTCATAGTTTGAATAACGTTTTTTGAACCTTTTAATAGTTTATTTAAGTAATTGTTTATGTTATGTTTTTGTCGGTTCGCGATGTTTAGCACTCTGTTAAAACGTGTTTTACGGTTGAAGGGACCGTGCACCTGTCGCAGAAGGGTGGTGCGCTATGATTTAATAAATAATTGTGCGTCATCGCCGTATGACCGGTTCGTAGTCGCGACATTATCACTTGTTGGCGTCGTTTTATAGGTATGTCGTTTCATGGTTCCACTGTAGCTTTGATGCTCAGTTTCAAAACGGCATTTTGTTAGGCATCAAAATAAGCAACTTTCCCAAATTTAAACTACCCAGCTGTGACCCTCGAATTTGAATCAGCCTGTATATGAAACCATTAAAACCATTTTTAATACGATACGTTAGTAACTGAAAATAATGATTACAACCGCAGGTATTTCATGTTACCCTTAAATCTATCTCACAGTTAATTTCCTTGGACACACATGTATTCACATAGCATATCAGATAAGTTTAACTAACACCTGAAATACCGACCCTTGTCACGTTTCCGAAATTTTATATACACAAGACGTATAGATTCTAAACCACTAAATGTAAAACCATTGAATAAAGAATCTGTAACAGTGTCTCGTCAAACGGGCGAATATTAGGATTTTTTGATAGCAAACGCCGGAGATATACGAGGAGAGAACATAAAAATTCCAAGTATCATTTTATTGATTTATTTGAACTGCTAAGGTGCTTTATTGGGGGTGGTATAGTTTGACCGCACGCCATTGCATTCAGTATTATTTATTTGGCGGCCAACGTGGGGCCACAGCATTATCAGTATACGGTTTTCTTGAACTTTGTGCGTGATTTCAATTATCTCAATTGGACAAAATGTTGGTTAAAGACAAAAGGAATTGTTTGCATGTAACTTCCATCTTCACAGTTTTGAAAATCATTTGCAGAATTTCGCAAAAAAAAACGTCACAAGGCACGCCCCGTTTGGGAACTACACTCTCATATATTTTCCAAACCATCATTTTTGCACAGCTTCCATAATACTCAAGAGTGAAATCTAGGATTTGTGGGATACTGTACTCTATTTGGTTTTGCAAAATGTTCCCAAAATTCCTATCCTAACATGGCTGACTTTTCAATGGAATTGCAAAAAAATATTCGATCAATACCAAATTTTGTATCTAGGTCTTCGAAGAAAATACCAAAACAAATAGAGCTTAATTTTTGATCGGATAATTTGATTTTTACACGAAAACTTTGTTATAACGGAAAAAAGCTTTAGGTGGAGCGATTGTATATTATACTTTTGATCGAAAGTTTTTTCCAGGGGGCAACGAAACATGAGTTAATTTAAAAGAAAATATCAAGATCGATTGAATTTTTTGCTCGACATTGTTTACTTAAACCGCGACAGTTTATTAGAATTTTCGAAAATACAGAGTAGAGGTATTCACGAGATTGAGTTTTAAGTATCTTCGTACTTATAAAAAATACTAAAACATAGCTAATGGGAGTCAGAGACAATTTGAATTATAACGAAATATTGACGGAAATTTATTATACAGTAAACAGAAATTTATTTTTAATAAATATAAGATTTTCGACTACCAGCGATCTGTGTTCCTAAGTCACCCTATTTCCCACTAGCTTATTCGCCCCGTTGCTACGATCCCAGAAGAAAGAAAATTCAATTTACATTGTGTCATTTTTATTGAAACTTGTTTATTTTCATCGGAAAAACATTTCAAAGCGTCGTTCTAATTCTATTTACTTATTCGAGTACTTGTGGATATACGATATTTTCTGTTTTTCCATCTAGTGGGTATACTAATGAGTAATGATTACGATCAAATCGGTTCGGAGGTGTAGTAATGTATGAGAGATAAACAGACAGTGAGACACAAATTTGATTTTATATGTTTTGCTTCGCATTTTAATGAAATATTTTATTTTTAACATTTTAATTAATTTAGGTATGAAATTCCGATCTTTGAGTGATCTCGTGCTTATTATGTACTTTAAAAAATAAGTTTCATTAGCGTGGTTACAGCAATACTAGGTGCTTTCTAAACGATTTTTTATTGTTTTGTAATTAAAATTACTAATAAACTACAAATAAATAAGTAGGTACTTTGTTTTTTATAATATGAAAGCATAATATATACTCTCATTTTATTTTTTCTTGTTTGTGTGCCATATTTCAAACTGAAATATGAGTCAATTGATATTCCTCGTAATTGCTGCTGCAGCGAAAACGGAAAGTGAAGAGGAGGAAAGAACACCTGTATTTATATCACCTGTAACGAGATCGTTAGATTTGTTTGTAATTTTTTCAGCAGGAATACGTAAAATAGAATTTTAAATCTGTATACAAATGTCAAGGTGCTGGAATGTTTTCCAGGTATACATCGATCGTGTTGGTCGAACGAGCAAGTGTTTTTGGTGTTTTTTCAATGCGTTTTTTGTTTAATTAAACTGGTCCACGCCACGAAATCTGCTTTTTGTATCAAGTGACATCCGTTTTAACAAGGGTTTAACACATTAATAATAATAATAATAATAATAATAATAATTTAATCGTTCGATCGTCATTACAATCATCGATAAGTCAAAATTAACAAACAATAATATGTATAACAATTGGACAAAAAAGTGTGTATTACATCAACTATAGCCTAGAAGTATAAAAGTGTATGAACTCTTGAATCGAATAAAAAGCATTGCTTAGATCAAAGTTTTGTGAAATAATTAACGAACCTCGAACTAGTTGGGATTGGTAGCGCAAAAAAACTTTAACCAATGGAAATTGATTGATGGCCGCCTTCATTAACAATCCGCCATTTTTTAGCGTGTTTTAATTAGCTAAAAATTGAGTAGAAATTTCTTTTTGAGATCTTCGGGGCATTCGTCGTCTGACAGTCAAAGTATTAACTGGGTAGGCTTACAAAGTTGATTTTGGAGTTATCGTCGTACTTGCGGCCTAAAAAGTAATAGTTCCGGTGTTTCTCTAAACAATTCGAAAGGAACATTTTTTTATCGTGATTTAAAGAATTTCAAGTGACGTGCATTTACGAGCAAAAAGAGAATGCGAGTACTTAACTTTCCAATCGAAAATTACCTTCTAGTGACCAAAAGTTGACTAATAAATAATCCGGGATTGTGTCTTTAAAAAACCACTTTTGAACTATTACTAGACCAATTAAATTCGTAACTGGGCCATATAGGTGTCGCAAAACTTATGTAAAATTGTATATATTTTTATATTCTCATCGAAAGAAATCTCCGAGTTTGTGACCAGTTTTTACAGAAAAAAGTAGCGCTTATATATTCACTTCAGCTTGTTCGGACGGGCGGTCGACTGCAAAGGTTTCTTAATTATAACTCTGGAAGAAATGATCGTAGAATGCTCGCGTTTGAAGCATTGCCTTTGTGTCACAATTCTTTGCTTGGCGATTATATTTCAGCGCGAATAAAATCGAATACTTTCCACCTTGTTTAGTAATTATCTCAGCTGTGGAAGGTCCCTTGGCCAATTTCAACGTTATATTTTTGTTGTGACACTATCTTTATTGCAATTTTCATTTTTTAAGCAAAACAAATTTAAATTGTTAATTAACATGCTCCAACTTGACAGTTTAATCAATCGACGCATACGCATAGGAATTTTCCAGTGGTGCCACTACCACAGACGCAAATTCCCGCAATTGCCAGATTTTTCCCCCCTTCAACAGGGATTTAAAAAAGAGTACTCGTAATACTGAAAGCTTCCGCATACCTGGCGACCGATAGCGCATCTTTTAGACCTATATTAAAATATTGAACTACTTTTCCTCTATCAACTTCACGAAAAAAAGGACAAGACGTGAACATTGCTTTGATAACCGCTTATCAATAGGAATTTTTTCTAACAAGTCAGTACAATTTGTAGACCATTTAGTTAATTCAAATCTTCCCGCCGCACACAATTTAATAGATTCTACATGAAGACTATAGGCTTCCTCAAATTCACTGACACTTGTTACCAAATCATCCATATATAAATCCCTATTTATTATTCTAGCAGCTAACGGATATTTGAAGCCTTCTTCCAGAATCAATTGTTTAACAGTTAACAGGCATTTAAGATACAGATCGATCAAATCCTTTACTATTGGTAATCGTATGTAATAAAAGCATTTATATAAACTCGGACATAAATTATTAGTAGCTACGTGAATCACCTAACGCTAAAGTTGTGGTTCCTGTACTCACAATTATCTAGTACTTTGCGACCTAAACACCGTAAATTGTTCTATTATTCTGAAGAAGCAACTCCAAAACGGTACTTTCTAACGACAAACTACCATTGATCTTTAAATGTGTTGTTTACTCGTGAGGTAAAAGGAAGCTCAAGGTGCACTAAAAAAATACATCCAAACTAAAACACAAAATAATGGTATTTATTCAATAAATGATAAAATAAATATAAACATTCTGTACATTAACAGAAAACGGTTCAGAGAATTTCTAATACTTACTACTTTTAGAAGAGTCCTTCATTGTGAAATTGTACGTGTTACCTGAAAATTAGTCTTTGTATTTGGGCTTTGGCGTTCGGGTATAATTACGGTAGATTTGAATGGTTTCCTCCGCTTCACCTACGATATTTTTTGATATGCACTGGTAACTGCCATAATCTGGCTGAGTTGTATTACGAATTGTGAGTTTCATATGTACTCCGTAGCTACTGCTCTCGAAATTTTCCATAAAGAATTTCTCATCTGTTGGAAATAAATATAATTTAGTAACAGATTCCTAGGATGCAGTAAATGTATAGGTATAAAAATGTAAATTACGTTCTAACATTATATGCCGAACTTCACATGTAATCAAACCTCTGTGGTCAGGATACAGGTGTATACATTTCTAATGTTATGTTATGCACTATAATAACCTCACCAGGGTAAGACAAACATACTTTGTGGTACTATATCTCCATTGTCTTTAGTCCAATAGTTAATGGATTTAGGATAAGCTTCGGAGTGGCACTCAATTGTTACACTAAAACCGTCATATGTACCAAGTAACTGCTTGTCAACTTGAATAGTTGGCGGAACTGAAATTAACCAGTTGCTTTAGATGCAAGGCAAACCCTTTCACCTACAGTTCACAATTAACATTATCCTTTTACTAACAGACGGAGGAACTCCGTTAAATGCAATGCACAGATAAGGCCCCATATCTTGTCTATTGGCATGATGAATGCTTAAAACTGGTCCATACGCGATTAAACCTAAGAAAAAAATTAACTACAAAATAAAATGAAGCTTATTCCCATAGCGTATGTTACAAACCTAATAGTCCATGACTGAGATGCAAATCCTCCCCACCTTCCCTTCTCCACGTAATGCGAGGGTGAGGATACCCCTTAGCTTCACATCTAAGTGTAACGTTCGAGCCTTCTTCCACGACCATATCGGCACTTGTAGCGTAGTCCAGGATATCCGGCGACACTGCAAACAATCAAGTAAAAAATGCTCCTCCAAGTTCCTCAGTAAACATTCCAACCAACAACGTCAAGATATCCAACTTGACTCTTCATGGGATCCGTGTTTATTTGACACATGTACCACCCTCTATCGTGTTCCTGTACGTCACGTATATGTAAATACCATGTTCTATTTTCACTGTTTGTTATGGATATACGACTACTTTTCGTAATTAAGTGATTATGGATCGTTAAGATAGTTTGCGTGTCAACCCTTAACCATGCTACCTAAGGAAACAAAACAAACGTTTTAGATTACATGAGATGTACAATATGATCAAAAACACATACAGCCATTATAAAGAGCAAATCTTGAACCGTTACCGATTCATAAGTCATTTATTTTTATGTAGGGTATTATTGTCTTATGGCGATTGTAGATATCAGCTTCGGTTGAACATCACCATTTAATGAGCTATAGTAAAGAATAGATTGCGAGGGAAAATGTTGGCTTTGGGGCGAATGTCGCAATAAGAATGACATTTGGGGTGCTGATGAAATTTTTGACATTTTAAAACACAGACACGTACGTAAGGATCATAAATCTTAACGAATATTAAATATCAGTAGACATAAATCCTAAAAGTGAATGATAAATTTCCTTTCGTTTTTAACATCCACATTTCAATCAATATTAAATTATGAGGGGTAATATTAACACGCGTTGGTTTAAAGAATCGTTTAACCCGTTTTTAACACTGTCATAAAACCGAATCTATTTTTCCCTTAATTAATTGCAACATCACACGTGAATAACGTAATTGGCGTACTTGTTCGTACCTAAAGATGAAAGATAACTTAAACCGTGTTAAAAATGTACCGTTAATGTATCACACCTTTTGTAATGAATGAAATACGATGATCAGATTACGTACGCTTTGTTGGCAGTAAAAATGTTAAAAGAACAGCGGGAACAAAATCAAAAAGAAATGCAATTTTCATTGCTACAATTAATTATAAGGGCACGCTGTGTGAAGATCGCTATCATTCAAACTCATCGATTAGGTACAGTTTGGACTGTGTTACTGCTAATGAAACTTGCCTAGATTATCGATGCAAATCTTTACAATGCAATCCGCATTGCCAGCTAGTAATTCCACGAAACTGTTATGGAGACGTCTCGCATAGAATCGAGGCTATGAGCACTACTCATTCGGACGGTGGTTACCGCAATAATATTGACAAATTATAGCGATTTAAGGGAAGCAGTGTTTTACTTTATCTTTGCAGAAATCATTACTTGTCTAGTGGCGACTCGAAGTTCAAATGGATGTAGCAGTCATCATGTTATCATCAAGAAATATTGATTAACAAAAGTTTAGTGTAAATCCCCAAATATAAAACAAGGGAACCAAACGACATCACAAGTATGAAGTAATTGTCTCCAAGATCAAAAGTTCACCCATGTAAGTGACCCTGGTGGTCAATATAGACGTTTACTTTTGATTGATCACCGTTTTAGGAATCGTATGGGGTGGTACCTCCTTAACCTGGTGATTGTGTAACTACTATGATTTAGGGATCAGGGTATGCGTCGATAAAGAATTGTCACCAGTGTTAAGGAATTATTCTATGAAGTATGATATACCAACGTTCGCGGGTATACTGTAATTTTCGAACAGCTCCTTGTTTTCTATATAAGCAAATTGATTTGGGCTCAGTATTCTCAGTCAAACATCGATGTCGAAGTGATAAATAGGTAATGAAGGTCGCGCTGTGTTAATAAAAATGTGCTATAAATTATTGGTGATAGTGATAAATATTACTGTGATAACACGCATAATTTCTTTTTGTGTAATTATTTTATTTTTATCAGAAAGAGTGATGGTTCGTCTTTTATTTAATTTGAATGGGCCCATAATTAGATAAAAATGCCAAATTATTGCTTTCATCTAAATTGATAGGTCATTGTAAAATGATAAAGTTTGTAGATGTTAACTTTGTGAAAATTTTCCTTATTGTTAAAAACTATAGGTATCTCTAACGTTTTATTAGCAATCACCGTTTGTGATTGTTTTACAGTTTGTCTAATTTTTTTGCTTCATAGTTACGAGAACGCCGTTAGGGCTGGTTTTTAAGTGTCATTGGAATTTTCTAATTGGCGAAAAAAGCGAAAATGTATTTGATTTGGCCCAAAAAAGCACAGTACCTATTTTAGTCAATCTCATTGTATAGGTTAGTGGTTAAGAATACTTCAAAGTGAGTATAATTGCACAAATATCCCCAAAAATGGGATATTATGGAATTTTTGAGGAGTATTTTTGTTTTTTTGGGAATATCACTTTTACAAAATTATATTTTTTAAAATTTTCGAATCAAATCGTCATCTCCGGATGTGAACATAATGGAGTTCGATATTTCACGATTGATTACTCTCAAGGAACCGCCTTCAATGTATAACCGTATAATTTTGTATTTTGATTTTCATAAGACATACAGTCGGCGTTAGTACCTTGTTCCTTTGGGATAGATATAAGCTTCGCATCACATTTTTGAAAATCTGATTTTGATATAAATCGCACTTGAAACGAAGACCTTAACCCGCATGCGCGAAATAGTCCGATGTTTTAATTTTTGATAAGCTAAGACAAATTCCCATCATAAGATATTTTCGAAGAATCCCACACTTCCTCTTTCCCCCAACAGAGCCGCCGCACCACGCATCGAGTTTCGACCCGGGCGCATCGAAAGCTCCCTCGAACGCCGAATCTAACTCACAAAACCGCAATTCGACCCCCCCCCCCCCCCTTCTTCAGTACGACGTCCTAAGTTTACCTCCATTTATCGGGGCAGGGTGAGGGGATGCGCGCTTGGTTTCCGGCGAGATTCCGACTATTTTCGGAGATATCCGGAAAAAAACCGAAATTTTGCAAAATCGTTTTTATTTTTTACTGAAGTAGTAGACCTACCCTTACATTCCCAACCAATCACCCAAATTAAAATGTAAAATAAATACAGAAATCCATGTAAGGTAAAAAAAGGATCAAATGATTATAAATGTAACTTATGTCATTTTAATATACGTGATGAAATTGAAATTTGAAAATTAATTTTATGAAATGGAACAAATATAATAATTAATAAATAAAGTCTTACAATCTCATAAACACTTAGTCAACCAAATATTAAGATGCTAATGTTGAAGAGTTAATTATTTGTATTTAATTTATGCTATAAATTTTCCTAGGCACTTAAAAGCGACACGGTGTTCCATATTTTTGTAGTACCTTCCACAATACACAGAGAAACATTGTAATCTCTTGTGAATAATGTGTATCTTTTCTTGGTCGCGCTCCGGTTGACACCTTCTTTACTCAATTATCCACAAAATGCTCGAACTATATCGATAATAAGTTATAGGATACCTGTTGCTGTTGGATGTTTAAATCCGGGCAAAATTCACATGATTCCCCAATATGTCGACGCGCTCAGAGTCATTTCCTGCATCACATTCTGGGGTCGAATAGCCAACAAACATATGTGATTAGATTTAGATTTTTAGCCTTACGGGTATTGAAAAAAAACAACAACCACAGTTGCCTTATAAGTTATAAAGGAAGAAAGTTCTACAGTGAAATACATTTATGTGTAGTGTGCATATACTTGCATTAAACTACCTTCGAATAGAAAATGTTTCTATTGTGCCATTCATAAATAAACAAAGCGTAATGACTTAATTTGTTACGATCCACAATTTCATTAGGGAAGTGGTATAGAAAGGATTTGTGGCAATAATCCAGTATTTTCATTGTCCAGAGAAATAATTAACTTTATGGTTAGATGATTTTATTCATTAGTCGCATGTTTTAATTAAGGGATTTAAATATTCTCCCAATTTTAATATTTGAACTGGCCGACATTGTATAGGATTCATACAATAGCTCACTTTTAAAAATAGAGATTATACAGTTTAAGGAAAGATGTACTTAAACTTAAAAAACCTTCGTTCACGTAGTAAGTAAAATTCGCTTTATTATGAATTTATGAACAGGCAACGTAGTTTTATATGTGAGGGATATATTGAGATTGGGAGATCATAAACTCAATAATTGCATCTGGGTTTTAATAACAGCCTCAGCGGTACTAAAAACGCTTATAAAACACAACCATCGGTTTTAGAACATATGCCGCGTAGGATAAATTAAATTTGTTAATTCCGTTTTAAACCACTGGAAAATATTAATTCTGCAAGTTTGTTGTTAAAACCTCTTGGAAATCTATAAAGCACACGAGTCGGAGTACAAATTCACATGAAATATCTGGAAAATGTTCGAAACCAATGCAATTTTAATTCCGTCTGTACTACCTTATCGGGAATTCCCGAACACCTAAGAAGGACTGTTAATTGCATTCTTTTGTATGTTGCGGTTTCTGAGAAGAAAATGAATGTTGAATTTGGCATGTTTAGAGACATAGTTTCCACATGAAACAATAAATTGATTTCTAAGACATTTTTGGTCCAGTCTACCGCCGCATTTCTCACATACTCAACGTGGGGATAGATAATCTATCTCATTATTTATGACGATAGATGATTGCTGACGGAGAAATAGAGGAACGGAGGAAAAGTGTAATAGGTGCCCTAAGTCAGTACACAGGGGCTCTTTAACCAAAGGATTAACAACAAAATGAAGGACATTGGATGATGACTTGGTACTTTAGATTCGTTTATATTTCATATGCTTATGGTGTCAACAAAAGTGTGAGATTTGTTTTGTTAAATAACTTAGGTGGTAGTTCAGATTTGCTTTATTGGGTACTTTGTTTATTTTTATAAAAGATTGATGTAATTATCTAGAGATAAGGATGCCTTTTAATCGGAAAAAACTGAGGTAATTGATAAAAATTTCAAGTTTGTTTAAGAAGGAAAGTCCGTTTAAATACCGGAGTTAGTGATTGGAAGAAGCCGTTTGCTAAGTTCGAGGCCGAGTTGCTGTCCTCTGAAAATTTTGAATATGCGCATTTCTACGGTAAGGATTGGTGGCAAAGTTATTGCTTTCGTTGTGTAAACAATTGTGTTGATCGGCAAAGAGAATTCAGTACGTGGTAATCAAGAGTCCGGCCAAGTTCGATTTAAATTTCTGAAGAATGTATACCTACGTAACAGTTTGGGATATCAGTTTTCATTGAAGTTGTCGTCCAAATTAAACGGACAGCCTTCAATTCATCGGTCGTGTGCCTGGTCGTGTGTTTGCGTTCAGCCAGTTAATTCAGATTTGAATACAATCAACGATTCTGTAACTTGTCTAGTACGTTACATCTTGGTTGAGTGCGTTGTTTCCTTTCACAATTAGTGTTCTGTGTGCCCGGATTATCGATCATCAATTATTAATACGCCTCTTATGGTCGTTTAAGCGACAAATTTCACCGGAGCTTAGCTTAAGCGTAACTTAAAATCCATGGCAACGATTATGAAGAAAATGGTTGCCATGGATTTTAAGCTACGCTTAAACTAAACTCTGCTTAAATTTGTTCGTGCAAACGGTCATTAGTTGCATCTCCGAAAACTGATGCATCGTGGTGCTGTGTTGATAGTAAATTAACGAGTTTAAAATGTCTTACATTTTTGCAGAACAGCTGCCTAGCTCAATCCAAAAATAGCACTTTTATAATAAAAGTGTCTTCAAAAAGAAGTTTTGAAAGTGATACTTTTTTTCATGAATTTGCTGTTTGATTGATGAGGGCGAACTCGACGCTGAAATTATGCAGAATACGTACACAAATGAAAAAGTATTCAAATTGGTATCATAAAAACTAGAAAAGATACATGTGCATTACGGTTGAAGTAAATCTTCTTGTTACATTATGTTCAATGACAATTTCTTCGAGATAAATGGTTTTTTTTTAGTTTGTTAGTAATTATTTGTAACTCAAGTAAATGTCTTTTTTGTATAAATTTAAAAAAAAAGGACAATATTAGTATTGTAGTCGACAGTTCAGGATTTCATAAATGTTTTACTTTCAAAATTGAAGTGAGGATATAAAAAAATATTGTTTTGAAATTTATGATCGATTGCCATTTTGTCATTTGAAGGAATAAAATATAATTGCAAATACAAATGCTTTGAAAATTTTTGTTTTTTCCAATAGTCTATAAAATAAGGGAGTCACGGTGATTTTTTGAAAAACATAAGAACGGCAATAACTTCGAACCCGGGCATCAAATAAAAAATTGGAACTAAGAAAAGTTGTTTATTTTAATGAGCTCTAACTGCCGTTTTCGGGTTTGGCGACTTACTATTAACCCTGTATATTACCAACGCTCATTACATACCGTGTGTCCCAGGGAGAACGTACCATAGGAAGACATAAGTAATGCATTTCTTCGCGAAGGATCCAGGTGGCCATTGGTATTTATTTGAAGGCAGCGTTCAACGTACGTTATTGCGCTTGCCTGATGCTAGAAAGAGATTGAAGTAGTACGTTGAACACTAATTTCAAAGGGATCGTGGATCCTTCGTGGAAAAATACACTGCCGTTTCCTTATGGTGCGTTCTACCTATGGGACACACAGTATAAGAACCGATGTTACATATCGGCCTAATCTATGTTATTCTTATTGTGTCTATCAAGTTGACTGTGGGGCGCAGCCTTCAAGACAGTGACTTATTTATTCGAAAATATAAATGGTTTTATAATTAAAGTGTGAAAATGTATGCATTGTAAAGATATCTCATTTTAATTTAAAGTTCAGACAAGTATATGAAGTGTCACAAGATTTTACATAAAAGAAGATTAAATTTGATTAAAATTTTGCACATGACCTACCCTTTTATGGTAATAAATTATGTAAAATACAAACCTTATACGTTCCCAAATCTTCTACAACGCAAGTGAAAATTGCCTCTCTTCCAACAGGAACGGTAACATTTTTAATGGGCTCGCCAAATTTCGGATTTTCTGAAATAAGAATATCAGTGATTAAATTCCGCATTTAAATTACTCATTTATGTTTTTCTATTACAATTTGCTGAAACTTCATTTTCTTTAATAATGGAGTAAATTTCGTAGCTAAATTAACTTTGAATATAAATATGAATATCTGCGAGTATTAGAGGGCGCTATTATTTAAAGCAGTATCTGCTTGAGCAGTTCATTCGGATTAGCTCTCGATTGCGAGAATGGGAACTCGAGCTGACTACGACACCCCGTCCTAATCAGCTTAACGAATTTATTGTTTCCCACGAAAATAATTTACCTATGTATTTTCAGGAAAAGGAGAAATTTTATTCAGTTTTAAAGCGACTTTTTTTAATATATATTTCAATCTAGTTGAAGATATAATTGAATGCCATTTAGAAAATGTGCCAATAATTCAAAATTATATCCGTTGGGAATCTCTAGGTAAAAGCTTTTTCTTTATAACGTTAAAAATAATTCTGTTTACTAATAAAAGTACAAGGTATGGTCTAGTATCGATTTTGACCTAAGTAAACATTAATAATGGTAAACATGTCATATAAAATGTAATCTGATTTGATCGGTAGCCTTTATAGTGATTGTGGCAGGGTGGATTTTTGACCATCAAATGCGGAATTTTTTGCCTTAATCCATTCTATTACATTAATGTTATTTAATATACATATTGAAATCGTACGAAGACGCAAAAGGGACATCAATTAAATGTTTTTCTTCATATCACAATATTATTTATTTTGTCTTAGGTATATCTCGATATTAATATTTATTTCGTGTTACTATCTCGATTTTAATATTTATTTCGTGTTACTATCTCGATATTAATATTAATTTTGTGTTATAACTCGTACTTGTAGTTAAGAGGGATCCTACGGCAATGAATGTTAATCGTGTGTAAGGGTTTTGTACACGAAATTTGGAGGTGCCATTTTTAGGAATTTAGTGCTCCAATTTTTGCAAACAAGAGATTATAGAACCACTTTTTAAATTATTGTTGCAGAACGAAAGATAATCGATGGCCATATTCAAATTAAAATAGAAAGTGTAAGAAAGTGCACTAGAGCTAATTTTGAAAAGGAAAGGATTACATACACGTTCGTAGTTTCATCCCTTGTCTGGACAATAAAAAATTCACAGATTTCGCAATCCTTGCAACCATTGGAGACATTGGAAATGATTTTACAATGCAGGTTTATACCGAGAATACGCTATATCTAGAATAAATTTAATATCGATGGTTGCGTTGGTTATCATTGTGTGAATCAATAGGATATATGTTGTCATGGCAGTTATTCTAAGAATATCTTATTCTGGGAATAGGTGTAATGGTAAAACCGGCCCTTATTCACACGGAATAACTTTCTGAATAATAAGCGGCGTAACATGCTTGTGATACTATCACGGACGATGTGTGAGAATTTTAAATTCGAATTAACAAAACCCCTGCGCACTGTTAAGTAAGTACCGTGTCGACAGTATCCGCGACTTTTCCTGACGTACATATTTGTTCCATGGACGTACATACGTAAAATGGACCAAACATGTACGTACAGCGGACAATTCCTGCCATATAAGTTACAGCACGTAACAGTTTAGTTGCATTTTTCTTTATATGTTAATTTCTTCTTTCTGCATCACCTAGACTTTTGCGCAGTAATTTATAAAAGCTAAACTTGTCCCAGTAATTGTATGGCAGATCGACTCGAGAGAGAACACACTTTAAGTTCAAATTATATCATCTGTTTAAAGCCCATGCCTATTCGGAATAAGAGAACAGTGATACCTACTGGAGAGAAGAACAGTAACAAAAGGACACCTAACGACTAAACACAGATTACGTGTCATTCACCTGTATAAAATGGTATAAAAAGGAAAGTTGAACAAATGAATCGCGCTTTAAAAAGTGATCGCGACCGTAAAAAACTCACACTTCGTTTTATCTTGAGCACTTCCATTAGCCACAATTAATAAATGATTAATTTTCTTTAAAACGTTCACAGACGACTGAAAATTAATTCTAGTGACTGAAACAATACCATGGAGCCTAAATGTAGCACTAAAGTATCTACAATTACTACATATTCCCTGTTATTAGCCTCTTTGCATCGCTAATGAACCTCTGGGGGAACCAAAATTGCAAGTTGAGATTAAAAACTCCCTTTGGTTTAGATTTCGCCTTTAATTTTCATAGAACAATGAATATATTCAAATTGCGACTTTGATATTTTAATACACCAAAATTTAGTAAATCATACATTAATAAACAAAATTGATAGCTCCAACGAAAGAAATAAGTAAATTATAGTAGGGATAGTATTGATTTAGCACTTTATTCGAGGTCGTGTGATTATATGACTACTTTACCACCCTTAGCGACTAGAATTATATTCAATACGGTGTTGGAAATATTGTTGTTGTAAATTAAGTGTGTTTCCATTTGAGATTGGCGCTTTCAAACTACTTGTCAACTAAATAAGCTGCGTAAGTATCAACTTTTCGGGGCGCTAATGATAGTTCTTTGAACTCAAGCAGCACGTGAACATTGAGGTAATTCGATTATTTTATTACAATTACACTATAACAAGAAGAATAAGTTGAAATCAAGCAGGGTAACGGGTTACTTCCATTTATTAAGCGGCGTTAACTTTTTTGTACACGTAAAAGGGTAGCAAAAAATGGAAGCTTAATTGTGTGGATAATGCACGTTTATAAATTATTCGGTGACAGCAACCCAAATCTTGTAAGTTGTAATAATGTTAACACAACGTCCTTCATCACTTCAAAAATGTTTCAGGTTTTGTATTCGTTTTAGGGGTACAGTTGTCAATAATTTCCCTAAAATTCAAAGTTTTTTTTAAGCGAATTATTGCGACATGTGGAAAGCTTTCGATTTGCTTTGAAATTATGAAAGCTAAAAGCTTAGCAGTCAATAAACGAAATCTTGTGGTGCAAATCGGAATTTGTCAAAGAGTAAAAGTATTTGCTTAAAACACTCTCCTACGATTTTAAAACCAACAAACGGAAAGTTGCTTTCATCCTCCCATTAGAAGTTTAGCACGCCGTAGGTACATGTTTCAAAAGGTCCTCGCCAACTCTTTGTTCTTTAAAACGTAGGATAAATGTGGTTCTCTTACAAGCTTTCATTTAACCTGACCTGTTGTTGTGAGCAAAATGAAAAAATGGTGACAAATTATTTTTAACAAGTTTTGTTGAAGGAGTCAATGTACTGAAAGGAATAAAACAAGTCAGACAAATTTAATTGAAACATGAAAGATCAGTCCTCGGTCTATAAAACATTCACTTATTGATACTAATTTCAGTTTTAGGTAACAAACTATAAAATACGGCCTAAAACAATATTAATAAGAACCATCTTGGATTATGGATGAATGCAAATAATGGTATTTAATGTAGCAGGTAAGTAGAGAGAGGCAAATAAGTTAATGTTTTTATTTTCTTTAGGTTATCGATTTCGAAGTTCATTTCATCATCAGACCTTGCTAAAATATATAAACGACTATAGTTTTACATAGAAAATGAAGGATTATGGTCGTTTTATGAAGTACTCCATTGTAGTTTGTTACTAATTTCGTTGAACATTGAAAATAAATTTAAAAACAAACTAGGCTTTTTTATTATAGTTTTTCTTTAGGCTATCGATTTCGGGTGATATATATTCCCATCATCAGGCCGTGCTGAAATACGCATACATCGTAATTAGGTGAGTATGGACTTAGAATAGCATATTTTATAATTACCGTCTAATTACGTCCCTGCAAACAACCACTAGACGGTAATTATAAAATATGCTATTCTAAGTCCATACTCACCTAATTACGATGGCAGAGTATACGAATTCACGTAAACTGGGGCCGATTTGTTTATTGTATTTATTTGTGCACAATGCTGCAAGGTTATTAAAAAGCTGATTCGCGAAATTTAGTTACCAAATGTGAGTGTGGAAATGATGTAAGAGTTGTATAATTCCACTACTGGACTGTTCTGAGGTTCATTTAAATTTGCATTAGCAGAAAACTCCATTTCCACATTAACATTGGGTAAATTTTACCATTCAACTTTCTTGTACGTGGTTTCTGTGGTTTTGTTGAGTGAAGTGACAACATTCAGTTTAGTGTACTTTTGGAACTAATTTGACTGGACTATTGATCTTATTAACGCAGATATGTTTCCATACGTAACAAGCCAATAAAATTTGTGTTCCAACTTGATGAATATCATAATATCATGAGACCTGAACGTGATAATATCCAGTAAACTACGCTAGGTTTTGAACGAATCTGAACATTTCGCATTAATTGGCTGAATGGTGAAATGCCTTTCTAAGTAGGAACTGCTGTATCGAATTAGATTTTAGTTGCCATCTCTGATCGCTTCATCCATTTATAAACTTGGTTATTAACATTATATTATACGAACGGAATGCTAATAATTTGAAGACTTTACTCCCGACTTTACTACATGCTAGGTTCTGTGTTTAGTGCGAGTGGTTAAAGAGTGTCTTGTTTTCCTATAGGTCATAAATAGCATTTAATTGAAAACAAATTACATTCTAAAAGAGAAATGAAATGAATTTCCCACAAATATAACACCAATACAAACTACATATGTACAGGGTGACAATTTGAAAACTTACCACCCCCCATATCTTAGTAAATAAACGAGATATTTAAAAAAATCAAAATCCGTTTCGGTAACTCGGAGAGGGAATCAAAATGACATAGTTGGCGACGCACCCCCTCACACCCCCTGCGCCCTAGCCACCCCAACTTTTAAATCTTAAATAGTAACCCCCCATGTGTGTATGTCGTTGGAAAGCTCTGAAAAAATGCTTTCCAACCATACCAAATAGCATTACATTTAGGTTAGTAATTATCGTGCAAATCAAAAAATAAACATGGAAAATCGTATTTAACTTGAACTTCCAAAGCCGACTCGACAGCAACTCATTTTTGACCGCCAGT